AACTGATGTCTTATCTTTTTTAGTGCCTCCAGCTAGATTCTGTTCGGACATGTTATAACAACATAGGAAAAGTTTATTTTGGTGCAAAAAAAAATTTTCAGTACATGCATAGTTTTTTCATAGTATGCATTTTCCATTAGCTTTTTGAAGACCCCCTCATGTATAGTTAATATTTACATATTATAATGAACTTCCTAAAATAATTATGCAGATTACAATGTGTACCAGTTTTACTGTAGCCTTACCAGCATTGATTGTCACTGGTTATAATAAAGAGTGGGTTTTCCTCACCTGTTTGTTACTTACGTTTACTCTAATGGATTTNGTTATAATAAAGAGTGGGTTTTCCTCACCTGTTTGTTACTTACGTTTACTCTAATGGATTTTTCTCTGTGAGGTGTAACATACATACTTTAGTGTGCACATATCCAAAGTATACAGCTTACTGCATTTTGACACACTCACACACGTTGCCCTGTACCCGCACACCTGTCACCACCATGGACACCAACCCAGCAGCCCCCTCAGAACCTCTGAGTCAGAACCAACCCCAGCCCCGCCCTGAGTGGTCACCGTTTTCTCGCCCTTGACTTATTTTACTTGTCTTTGAATGTCATGTGAAGGGAATCACACAGTGTGTTGCTCTTGTACTTGACTTTTCTCGCTCGAAACTGTCTGTAGTTGGTTATTGTCCGTTACTGTAAGTGTTCTGTTTTATGAATATACCACAGTGTATTTACCCATTCCTTTGTTGATGGACATCTGGGATGTTTACTGTTTTGGGCTGTCATGAATAAATCTGCTATGAACATTCTTGCACACGTCTTTTTGTGGTATTTGTTAGTATTTACTCATACACCCAGTAGTGGAGTGGCTGGATCACAGGACGTAAGTATGTTTAGCTNACCCTAGAGCCACCTGGGGACAGAGCTTGTGGTGTCATTTCTTTCAGACTGGGTAAGACTATAGGGCAGCGTTATATAGCTTGCCATCTTAAACATACTGTACAGGGATTTCATGCCTTGGCTTTGGAGAGGATTAAGGTAGGAATTACAGAGATGTGTATTGTTAGTATAGTAAGAATAACAACTAAAGACATATCTGTCATGGAATGTGCATTTGATTATTCTTTTTAATCATGATGCTTAATTGTAGTACTGGGGAAAGCATCTGATTGAGATCCTGATGTGCTCTTTCCTTGTATTTGCAGATCCACATCATAGATTTTGATGATGAAAATAACATTATAAATAAAAACGTCCTCCTCCATCAAGTGGGTGAAATCTGGCACATTAGTGCCAGTCCTGCAGATAGAGGTGTGCTGGCAACCTGCTACAATAAAAGTAAGTGTGGCTTTCTTAGATGTTTGTATGCACCGTGTATTAGTCTGTTGTTGCCTATAACAAAATACTTAGAACTGTGTACTTTGTAAAAAAATGAAACTTACTGCTTACTGTTTTCGAGGCTGGGAGGTCCACGGTGCAGGGAACACATATGGAGAAGGTCTTCGGTGATGGCTTTACAGCAATGCAGGGGTCTCACATGGCAGAAAAAGGTGGAGCAGAGAGAGAGACTAACTTCCTCATGCACTCTCCTTTTAAAGCCCTCCAAACCATACCACTGACCACCAGTTTCAATCCATTCATTACAGCATGGTCCTACAACCTAATCACCTCTTCAAGGCCCCACCTTTCACTTACCATAGTAGGATTTCCTACCCTCTTAAAATTATCACAGTGGGGATCAAGTTTTGGGGAGACAGTCAGTGTAAGGCACACCAGCTAGAGATTTTNTTGTCTTTTGTCTTTTTCCGTGTCCGGCAACGGATCGCAACCCTCAGAGTTGCCCCCGTACTGGACCGGGGACCGGCAACGGGATTGCAACCCTCGGCGCTGCCCCCGCGCCTCGCTCAGCCTGTGAGCAGGAACCGGTCTGTATGTAGGATCCGAACCCTCGGGCGGGAGCGCCGCCACGCTTCCCAAGTGGCGCACCTATCCAGTGCAAAAGGTGGAGCAGAGAGAGAGACTAACTTCCTCATGCACTCTCCTTTTAAAGCCCTCCAAACCATACCACTGACCACCAGTTTTAATCCATTCATTACAGCATGGTCCTACAACCTAATCACCTCTTCAAGGCCCCACCTTTCACTTACCATAGTAGGATTTCCTACCCTCTTAACATTGTCACAGTGGGGATCAAGTTTTGGGGAGACAGTCAGTGTAAGGCACACCAGCTAGAGATTTTGCCTGAGATTGGTTTTATATTACTAACGGGTCAATGTTTGAATTGTAAGATTTGACTGTTGAAAGGTGCTGCATGCGCAGAGAAGCTGTGATATTGTGGGTAGATGTTTGCAGAAGTTATTATAATCCTAAGATTACAAAAACTGAAGCTGGAATCATGGCTGTTCTAGGAACTTTGACCTCTCTGGTCAGGGGAGTACTGTGCCTGAGGGTCCAAAAAGTGGACACAGGTGTCCTAAGAAATTAACCACACTGCAAATGTCCTGTGGTGAGCTCTTGACTTTTCTCTGCTGCACGCTTGCCGCTGTCTCTCAATGGTAGTGTCTTTGGCATCTGGAGAGGCTGAGTTTTCAGAGTTACCCAGTCGTCATTCCTTTTTCTTAACAGCTCTTCCCTCAGTTTCTCTCTCTGTCCTCACGTCTACCCCTTCCACATGCTGCTGGGGCACCTTTGGCATGTGTGAGCAGCCTCACTGCACCCTGGCCCTGCCTCCACGTCACCGCAGGGCAGCCTTGCTGAGCTCTCTGCCACCATGTGGCCAGGGCCCTCTTTCCTCCTGTCAGTGCAAGGCAAGCCTCCTCCCACTGCCAGGATCTAAAGCCACTCCCCCATTTTAGGAATTTGTTACGGCAGCTCCTCATTCTGTGTTTTTATATGCTGCGTAAGAAATTACCACAAACATTGTGGCTTAAAACACACGTCTTCTCTCCCCATTTCCATGGGTTATGTGTTGGCACAGCATCAGCTGGGTACACTGCTGGGGTCTCAAGGCTGCCATGCAGGTGTCAGCCAGGCTGTTTTCCCATCTGGATTCAGTGTCTTCCAAGAACAGTGTTTGCTGGCAGAAGTCGGTTCCTGGGGGTTGTGGGACTGAGTGTATGTTCCCCGCTGGCTGTCAGCCAGGACCCCTCGGCTTCTGAGGGTGCAGGTGGGCTCTGGTTTAAGCTGCTAAGTCTGTGGTGCTTTGTAGCAGCAATAGAAAACTAATATGGTTACCAAGCACTACTTAACCTTGCTCTGACTGTCCACAGGCTTGAGTTGATTGCTTCCTTCAAGTTACCCTAAATCTCTTAATTTTGAGTCAGGGGCTTCCAGAGACCAACTCTTTCCACCTGTCTTTAAAGGCAGCACAACGCTTCTGTTGAATATTCTCCCAACCTCTGTAGGAAGAAAGACAAAATTGTTTCACAACATGCATGCCTAAGTTCCAAGACTTCTATTTTGTTCTGCCATAGGCGGAATGGAAAGCTTTCAGCCCTGTGTGGACAGCTGTTTCCAGCATGAGATGCCAGGAGTTCTCTGCCCACTCCCCCCACCCCCCTCTCTGAAGGAGGCCGCCCAGCTCTGTGACTCACGACTCCCGTGTAACCTGAGCTCTTTGCCCTTTGAAGCTATTCACGGTGTCACACCTAATCTACATCAAATGATCTGTAGCAGCAGCCACTCTTATGGGACTAGCTACCAAACCATGCTGGTTCTGGTTCGGATGCTTCCAGAAAAGCTGGGAGTTAAAGATCTAAACTTGCTGTGCATAATTTAATACAGAAAAAATGCTTTTGAGAGACTTAATGTGTCTTGCAGACAGACACTTGTGCTGTTTTTATGCACTTACCTTGTTGGTGAATCACTAGGCTTCCACACCGAAACAAATTAAATATGTATTAAATCCAAAAGCACCTTAAACTTGTATTAAAATGTATTGCTTGAGTTGTCACCTCATTATGAATGACAATTCTCTGTAGAATTGTGCCTTATCCTCCTTGCCTTCCAACAGTGTTTTTCTTGAAGTGCACTTTTAGCCTGTCGTTTCCTGGCTGGCGAAGGTTGCTGCAGGTGTTTATTACCCGTGCTCCTGTGATGTGCACTTACTAGCATGTGCTCACGAAGAAGCTCCGGGTGCGTTGTTCTCGGTGCCACTCCTGTGTTTCTGTGTCTCCCTGCAGCCTGCCTTTTTTGTGTTTCAGTTAGTTGATGTGCTGCTTTGTGCTCTAATCAAGAGACAAGCAGAAGGAAAGAAATCATCAAGATCAGAGCAGAACTTAATGAAATTGAAAACCAAAAANGTTATAATAAAGAGTGGGTTTTCCTCACCTGTTTGTTACTTACGTTTACTCTAATGGATTTCTCTCTGTGAGGTGTAACATACATACTTTAGTGTGCACATATCCAAAGTATACAGCTTACTGCATTTTGAAACACTCACACACGTTGCCCTGTACCCGCACACCTGTCACCACCATGGACACCAACCCAGCAGCCCAGCAGCCCCCTCAGAACCTCTGAGTCAGAACCAACCCCAGCCCCACCATGAGTGGTCACCATTTTCTCGCCCTTGACTTATTTTACTTGTCTTTGAATGTCATGTGAAGGGAATCACACAGTGTGTTGCTCTTGTACTTGACTTTTCTCGCTCGAAACTGTCTGTAGTTGGTTATTGTCCGTTACTGTAAGTGTTCTGTTTTATGAATATACCACAGTGTATTTACCTATTCCTTTGTTGATGGACATCTGGGATGTTTACTGTTTGGGGCTGTCATGAATAAATCTGCTATGAACATTCTTGCACACGTCTTTTTGTGGTATTTGTTGGTATTTACTCATACACCCAGTAGTGGAGTGGCTGGATCACAGGACGTAAGTATGTTTAGCTTTAGTACATACTGCCAAGTATTTTTCTCAATCAATAATCATTTAATAATTAATAATAGATTTTTTAATGTGTCACATGTTCATAGAGGGAAAAAAATATTTACAGGTAAAATTTCAGGTGTGGAAAAGAAAAAGAATAGAATAAACCTTCATTAAAAAAAAATGCTATGTTAGTTTCCCCTGTTTTTAGATACACAATTTGTAATTTAGCTGTCCACCAGGAATATTTCTGAACCCACCGTGAAAACTGCATTGGGCTCTGAGTGCAAGTAGCTTACTGAAGATAGCTTACAAGATGAAGATAATAGTCATGATTTTTAGTGTCTCCCACCAAACAGAAGGGGAAGGCACTCGTACCTACTGGGCTGTTACTGTGCGGGGTCCTTGTGCTGCCACGTCTTGTTCCCCAGTAAGCCTAGGAGGGTAGTGCTGGCATCTCCACTGTACACGCTGGGAAACTGCAGTTCTGCGTGCATCACACAGCTCTTAAGGGCAGTAGCATGGCTGAATTCTACTGAGTCTAGAGTGATGGCTCATGAGGACTGAGGTTGTTTTTGCATTAAAACCCCGTGTAAGAGGAAGCAGTCAAGAATAAAACAGTTATACATCTGAAGCATGTATAATGCGTAATGTATAATGTATAATGCTGGGTACCAAGGAAACATTTTTAAAAATAGCATTTAATGTTTGATTGCAGATGTAATGCATATTGATCATGAAAAAATGTTTAAAATACTAATAAACCACAAAAAGGTAAAGGAATAACACGTATAATCCCCCCCCCCCCATCCAAAGACAAACAGATACCTTCCAGTTCTCTCATTTGGACATGCATACTTTTTAAAACAAAAACTGGATTTAGCCTTTGTACAGTTCTTTTTTATGTTCTCTTCTCACATTTATATTATGAACATTTTTCCATGGCACTAAATAATCTTCTACAGTATATTGAATGGCTTTATTATATTTTAGTCAGATACCACAGTTTATTTGAACAGTTCCCTATTGCCAGACATTTAGGTGGCTTCTAATTTTTCATTACAGTAATCAATGCCATAGTGAACATTTTTGGATATAAATCTTTGTGCAGACCCATGATTATTTTCTTAGTATAAACTTATTTGTAAAAGAAGAACTATGTTTTCTTATTGACTTGGGTATTCATGAGAGATTGAATGTGAAGATCATTTTAATTCCTCTAAAAGTTATCCAGAAAAGCATGGTGATAGCATACTTCTAGTGGCTAAAATGTGATACTCTTATAATATTATGTGATCATAGGTGCAGACATCTGTTGAGCTTGTTTTTAACAGAGGTTAAGAATGTACTAATGTACTACCCTTTCTCCCTGTTTCTCACCTTCATCACTTCTGACATGAGCTGTGTGCTGCCCACTACAAAGTGGGCCAAGCCTGTCCACCCCAGACCTAACACAGTAGCACCTGCCTTCT